TTGTTGGATCTGGCGAGCTCTTCTCAAACGTGCTAGGCAGTTGCGTGCTCTCCATGAGATTCGGTCAAAGGATGAGGTGGACCGTTGACCATTTTCAGGGCAGCGAGGATAAGACTTTGGATGACCTTAGTTGCTCCCTTAGCTCCTTGAGTTGCTGAGCTTGACCGGACTGACCACACTGATGAGCTTGACCGGGTTGGCCACACTGGGCTGAATTTGCTAGATCTTTTGGAGTCGGACTATAAACTTGAACTGGGCTTATAACATGAGTTAGACCTTTGAGCTTGGCCTATCATTTGTCCCCCAATGCCCTGTGTCCAATGGAACTTGAAAATGAGGGCATTTAATTAAGTTTGAATTTTCGGTTGATCGGCATAATCGAAAAAACTTCGGGAGGACAAAACATCTACTTCCAAGTTTTTTTTGGACTTTTTACAGAATCCATCCCAGCCAAAGGCTTTGTGTCCTGTAGGACTCACCAAGAGCTTCGATTTGATATAATTATAAGCCTCATTTGGAGTAACGGAGCAGAAATTACAGTCAAATCTTCAAACAGAGAGTTAGGTGAGCAGTTTGGGCGGGTAGGCAGCTTCGGGGCGAGATAGGTACTGTCCTGGGCGAGTTGGGCAAATTTTTTTTTTAAAACTTCGGGAGTCCAAAACATCTGTTTGTAGGGCTCGTCGAGAGTTTTGATTTGATATATAATAAGCCCCTGTTTGAAGTTACAGAGTAAAATTTAAGATCAAAACTTTGAGCAGGCAGCTAGGCGCGTGTTTTGGGAAAGCAGGCACTGTTTTGGGCGAGCCTGGGGGTGCAGCTTGGCGCACCGACAAGGGTTACCTGGGCGCGAGCCTGGGCATCAGGAGCTGGAGGTGCAGCCTGGGATGTCTGGCATCAGGAGATGGAGATGCAGCCTGAGATGTCTGGGCATCAGAAGTTGGGGGGCAGCCTGGGATGCCTGGGCATCAGGAGCTGGTGGTGCCACTTTAGGCGCTGATTTGGGCGCCTTTGGAGCTGTTTTGTGCAACTTTGGGAGGCCAAGACAGCGTTGGGCTGCCCCGTTTGGGCGAGCAAAGGTGGTCAAACACCTCTCCAAGTGTTAAGCTACCTCGTTTGGGCGAGCATAGAGCGTTAGACACCCCTCCGAGTGCTAGGCTACCTCGTTTGGGTAAGCACATAGGATCAGACACCTTTCCAAGTGCTAGGCTGCCTCGTTTGGGCGAGCATAGAGTGTCAGACATCCCTCCAAGTGCTGGGCTGCCTCGTTTGGGTGAGCACATAGGATCAAACACCTCTCCAAGTGTTGGGTTGTCTCGTTTAGGGAGCACATAGGATTAGACATCTTCTAGGTGCAGGGCTGCCTCGTTTGGGAGAACAAAGAGCGTCAAATACCCCTCCAGGTGTTGGGCTGCCTTGTAGGGCGAGCACATAGGATCACGCACCTCTCCAAGTGTTAGGCTGCCTCGTTTGGGGAGCACATAGGATCAGGCGTTCCTCCAGGTGCTGGGCTACCTCGTTTGGGCGAGCAAAGAACGTTAGACACCCCTCTAGGTGCTGGGCTGCCTCGTTTGGGCGAGCACATAGATCAGGCGCCTTTGGAGCTTGGTTGTGATGACAAAAATAATGTTATTCCAAACATTAAAATATCTCACATAATTACCTATAGGGAGAGGTAGGTTGCTTGCGCGAGAGCAAAGACAGAGTTGAAAAACTGCTCGTGAGAGAACTACGCCTTTTGAGACCTAACTTTTGGCGACCCATGAGAGGGTCTTTAAGCTTGAGGTATAGACTGTCTGTTTGAGAACAACGTAGAGGCCAAGCTTTTAGCGACCCGTGAAAGAGCCACTCAGCTGGAGATATAGGGTGCTTGTTTAAGAACAATGTAGAGGTCAAGCTTTTGGCGACCCCTGAGAGAGTCGCTAAGCTGGATACTGAGACTGTCTGTCTAGGAACAGTGCAGAAGTCAATCTTTTGGTGACCCGCAAGAGAGTCGCCAAGCTTGATATTTGAGGCTGCTTGTTTGAGAACAACGCAGAGGCCCAGCTTTTGGCGACTCGTAAGAGAGTCACTATACTGGATATTGAGGCTGCCTGTTTGAGAATAGTGCAGAGGCAGACCAAGTTTTTGGCGACCCATGAAAGAGTTGCTAAGCTGGATATTGAGACTAGCTGTTCGAGAACAGTGTAGAGGTAGGTCAAGCTTTTGGAGATCCGCATGAGATGATTCACCTCGCTTGGACCTGTTGATTTTTCTCAGCATTCATATATTTTTGAGCTTTGCCAATAGTTCTGGCATGCTCTTTGGTGGTCACTTCATTACTGAAAAAAGGAATCTGGATGTGTGGAAGGCTCCCAGAAAGGTGGTCATGATGACTTTGTCATTGGGCTCCTCGATTTGAAGGACCTCCTCGTTAAAACGAGTGAGGTAACTTCTCAAACTCTCGTCTCGATCCTGTTTTATGTTGAGTAGATGGGTGACATGCTTTTGTTGGCGGCATCCACCAATGAACTGTGCCACAAATGATTTACTCAATTCGGCGAAGGAGCCTATGGAGGCCAAGGTGAGTTTGGTAAACTATTGTTGCCCTGATCCTTCAAGGTAGTTGGGAATGTCATACACATAATTTCGTCGGGGACGTTTTGCAGTTGCATTAAGGACTTGTAGGTTTTCGAGATGATCAAGTGGATCCTTCGTTCTGTCAAAAATTTCACGGATGACATTTTGAACTTTTGAGGGAGGGGGTAGTTCACCAAGTCAGGTTTGAAAGGCGTGTCTGTGGGGTGCCCAAGGGGACTCCAAAGGGGGCGCCCAGACTTGCATGGGCGCCCAAATGGGGAGCAACAAGTTGTGGAATTCCTGGATATCCAGGGCGTGCACTCCTTAATGTCCAAGGCGTGGAGCTCTTCGATGTCCAGGGCACGGAGCTCCTTGATGTCCAAGGCGTGCAGCTCCTTGATGTCCAGGGCATGAAGTTCCTTAATGTCCAGGGCATGGAGCTCCTTGAGGTCCAGGACGTGGAGCTCCTTGGGGTCCTCCACGCTGTGCTCCTCCTTGTTCAGCGAGCATAAGTTGCAGTATTTACTGGTTTTAGGCTACTAGCTGTCGCCGCATGGTCTCCAACATTTATTGTGGATTTGGAGCTGGAACATTTGGGACAGAGTTGGTAGGTGGAGGAGTAACCTCCTCCTCTCGTGGAGGATTGTCTTCAGGTTGGTTCATGGATCTGGTAGTGATCGCCATTGGTTCAACAAATAGAATATTTGAGAGTGAGAATTTTGTATTTCCCACAGACGGCGTCAAACTGATGATGCACAAAATAGTTTTGCACACCACCTGTCAAGTGTGAATAATAAATGCAAGAGTAAAGTAAGGAAATTGAGAAACACAAGTAATTTATACTGGTTCGGTCCACTCTTGAATGACTCTAGTGCCGGTCTTTATGACTCAAGGGAGTGAAGAGCAGAGAGTACAAGCTTTGAGAGAGAGGAGATAGTCGTGCTCAAGTTAAGTGTGATTTGCCCCCCAAGTGTTTGTGGGGCTTATAATTTATAGTCGCCCTCCTAACAGATTTGGACAAGATATTAGTAAGTAGTTGACTAGTTTGTTGGATCTGGCGAGCTCTTCTCAACATGCTAAGCAGTTGCGATGCTCTCCATGAAATTCGGTCAAAAATGAGGTGGGGTGACCATCTCCAGAGTAGCGAGGATAAGCTTTGGATAACCTTAGTTGCTCCCTTAGCTCCTTGAGCTGCTGAGCTTGATCGGGCTGATCACACTGATGAGCTTGACCGGATAGAGCTGATGAACTTGACCGGGTTGACCACACTAGGCTGAATTCGCTGAATCTCTTAAAGTCGAATTATAAACTTGAACCGAACTTATAAATGAGTTGAGTCTTACCCATCAGATATATATAGTTTGAACAAGTAAATATAATTTCTTACCACTTTATGGATTTCAAAATCATTAAGCGAAAAAGATAGGCGGTCCCCTAATGGCTCTGCAGCCCGTCATTAATTTCACTTGTCTTATTCTTGTTTATATTTGTTTCTTCCAAAAGAAAGCAAAAAGGAATAATTAAATAACAGTATTGATTAGAAACCTTTTTGGGCAAATTATATATTTTAAAATGATAAAAAAAACAATATAGATACAAAAAAAAATTCCCCATGTAATTTTCAAATTTGTAAATTCAGATTTCCCTATACGTTTCTTAAAAACATTTCATCGTACACAAACTGATCTATATAAAAAACATATTATTTTATTTTCTTTTGTTTCATATCGACTTTTAATCAGTTTTGCTTTCCATCGTTGTTTTGGATTTTTCACAAAATTGACCCTCTTTAGATGGACCATTCTACATTTATCCTGTATGAATTGGAATTTTAATAAAAATAGTAAAACAGTATTGATTACAGACCTTTTGGGCAAATTATTTATTTTGAAATGGTTAAAAAAATATAGATAAGAAAAAATAATCCCCCTTGTTACTTACAATTTTTCAGATCATAAATTCAGATTTCCCTATACCTTCATCCTACACAAACTAATCCAAAAACATTATAGAAAAAACATATTCTTTTTTTTTTTCTTTCTTTCATGTCGACCCTTAACCACTTCCACTTTCGATCGTTATTTTGGATTTTTTTCAAAAATAGACCCTATTCAAATGGGCCATGCTACATACACCCCTTACGACTTCGAATATCAATAATTTAGCAGTTGATGAGGACTGTTGATAGTTCAGTACTTTGGGAGTACACTCCAGATGGATAGGCAAAAGCAGCAAAAGCTAGTACTAGCATTGCAACCAAGCAATTACAAAAGCAGAAGATTTCATTTCTTTCAATTTGCTGTCTTTTTCATAACTAAAGCCATCCTGCCACTCAAGATGAGAAGATCAAATTCTTATCCTGAGTCAAAAAAAAGGCGACTTGCAAAGCACTTACAAAGCATGAAAAGAAAAAGAAAAAAACAATTTTCCCAGACACAAACCAGCTATATTTCTATAACATTGAATACATGCTTCAATTATAACATCCCCCGCCTCATCACAGCCGCGGATGAATTGAATTCCATGGTGTATTTCAGATAGTATAATAACTTTAATGTCACGTCACCAGATACTGGTAACATGTTCCAGATTGTCAGCATTTAGTCTCTTCTCCATCCAGTCGATAATATCCTGTGCAATTTCTTCACGCTCAGGCTCGAAGAGAAGATCATGCAGGAAGCCATCATACAGCTTTATGTCTTTGAACTTGGAGGCTGCCTCATTGAACAAATCCTGGGAGGCCAATGGATCAGTCACTTTGTCAGCAGTTCCATGAAGGACAAAGAATGGGACCGTCACAGACTTGAAGTTACGCATCAAGTAAGTAGAGATGCGCAAAATCTCATGCCCTGTTCGGACCCTTATGGGTCCAGTATAGACCAAGGGATCAGAGTATTTAGCTTCAAGTGCCGCGGGATCTCTTGAAACTGGAATGCCCCTTTTGTTGGCACCTTTGAACTGGTACTTGGGAACAACCAGTGAAAAAAATGGAGCCACAGCCTGCATAAAGACATCCCAAAGAAGTTCAAAGAATAAACAGCACAATCATAGAAAAGTTCTTGCATCAAATTGCTTTTTAACAAATTAAAACTACAACTTCTAACACCTTGCTTCCACTGTTGTGGCACATAAGAAGAATGCAATTTTCCTTTAAAAAATATATATAAAAGAATTAGAATACACTCTCAATGTGTTGCGTGCATTATCAGGGTAGAATTAATGAAAAAATGTTAAGAGCAATAGAATTGGACAGTTGGCATTTCAGGAAAACTTGTGGAGGTTCATTGATCAAATGAAATTCCCTCAGAAGTTAACGGTAAATTTTGTGAAGTTTGATGTTGTTTAAACTTTGCTATAAATCATTCAATCAACCTTGCATAAAAGAAAGATACAACATTAAAGAATCAAAAAAAAAAAAAAATCCTACAACTAGTGTTTCCAAGGGAAGGATTAACTTTACTGTTAAGTTCTCAGAAATCCTAGGTCAACGGAAATCCCTCAAAAGTTAACAACTATATATATTGTCATTTCTAAAATATATTCTCCCATTAGTTGACTTTTATTTTCTATTCCTTTTCCCAAAATTGCATGAACAAAACACGCTTCTGGTGTTTCCAATGTTTTATTCAGAGAAACAAAGACTTTCCTTTAAGAAGAGCATCCAATGAGACCTTACGAAACAGACAGCACAATGCAACAATGAACTTGCTACACAAAATGATCATATTTTTTTTGCTATCACCTATCAACCATATCAGCAAATGTTGCAGTGTAAGTTTAAGTAGTATTGAGTGAGCAAACTTTAAAATAAATAACAAATGTGCAACTCTGGAAAGCAGAGCGTAACAGAAAAACCACTGTTAATAGTTCCAATACAAAGCTAAATAGGCACTGCTACAACGACTTACACCAACAATAGGATGTGCTGGCCTAACACGCAAAGCAGGTGAAGTCAGGACAATTCCCTCCAGCATTCCTTCAATGTGGAGATATGAAGCAGCCTACTCAAAGGAACAGATTATCAAAATTTTAAAAAAAATAATAGAGATCAGATTAGTTTCTGAAGTAGTTTGTGAATAGCCTCACCTTCAAAACCACGGCCCCCCCAGTCGAGTGACCAAAGAGGAAACATGGTATCCCAGGGTTCTCCAATTTTATTTTTTCAAGGAAAGCCCCCTGTTAAAAAAGGAAAATACAGAGGTTACCACACCATAAGAATTTGTCCCTTATTCAACTTACTGAAACACAAAAGAAATAAAATTAAGCTAAGCTACTGGCAGACCATTAGATCAAGGGAATCATTGTAAGTTGCATGGATATCCAGGATTAAAAGGTACTGCTAGGCTAAGATTCAGAAATATATTGAGACAATGTGAAATGAAAGATGACCAATAATATTAAAAAAACAGAGCCCCAGATAGAATGTAATGCAGAAACAAGAATCATGTGGGACTATAATATAGTTGTATTTGGTGGAATTGAGTGGATGTGGCAGGATGAAGATGACCTGAAAAATTTACAAGTGAACTTACAGTGTCTGCAACGACATGATCAAGTGAAGGTACATATCCATGCAATCCATCACTCCCACCATGACCTATAAAAGAAATAATAACTTAACTAAATAACTCAAAGGAGTAAAGAAGATCAATTTATCTCGGTGATTAGGCCATATTTTCTCTGTAGTAAGGCCAGCTGCACACTATGTCAATATTAGGGCAAATAATAATACCAAAATACGAATTATATTCACCAGTTACATGAAGCAATACGATTTAGAAAAACTTCACCACAGGAGTTATCGTGCTAGAAGCCTAGAACTATCCCCTTGTGTTCAAAATTTTGTGTAACAAATAAACAATCCATTCTAAATGGATAAAATCCAATGAACACAAAGTGATAGCCCTAGACAACATGCCCTGATTCTAAGTATGTATAAACATTGTAATATTGTTTCCCCTTTAATATAAAGGCTTTCTAGATCATTTCCTCAAAAAAGGTTATTGCATAACTTCAGGGAAAATGTTGAAAGCAAAGCAAACAATTCTGATCCTTATTTACATTAAAGTCATTTACTTTGCCCATAACTGAAACTCAAAAGAAAATTGTAAATGATGTCAGTTTTTGAAAAACCTGAAGCATGAGTACACTGATTTCAAAGGAATGTAATAAACAAAAAAGGGCAAGTCTACAAGCTTGGTGATGGGCACTTGGTTTAATCTCTAGGCATTGAAGGCAGCATAATCAAAATCATAATCATGAATATAATCATACAGAAAAAAAAACTAGACATGCTTAAATAATTTAGCCACCTATCCAGTCCATTGCATAGACTCCAAAGCTGCAGGAGGTCAGTTGCTTCGCAAACTGAGCATATCTTCCACTGAAAATGAAACACAAAGAAACATACCAAAACCATTATTACATAAAAAGGATAATATAAATGAGTTTCAAAGAGCAATTGCAATAACCATATAACACGTGCAGGAATTCTAAGCTAAAATACTCATCCAAGGAAGCAAGAAACAAAAAAATATATATACGAAACTTCTATTAAAAAGGGATTCAACAATTCAATTGTAAGCCATCGCTACTACCTGTGCTCATTAAGGCCGTGAATGATGATCATAATACCCCTGAAATAACAAAGCAATGATCATTAGGACAGATGTATGGAGACAATAAGACAATGGCAACAGCCCGAAACTAACGAACTGTACATGTTCTAGATGTGTGGTATGAAAAGCACGGCCAAAAAAAAAAACTAGCAGCACAGAGCCCTTAATCCTGTCTCCTACTGTAAATCCGGGTGTTTAAGAATTTTGTTAGAAGAACAAGAATTCATTAAAATGGAAATCAAGTTAATAACATGCCAGACTTGCAAGTAGCAATTCAGTTTCAAAAATGTGATGGTCAGGTAAAAAGTACAGTGTGAGTTTTCAAACACTATACAAACCGCAAATATAGAGACAAAAACAAGGAAATAATTATGCATATAATGATATGTACAAGAAAAAAAAAAGGATAAAGGGAGCCAGCACAGGAATCAAATTCTTTAGTTCGCTCCATACTCGTCCAATTCATAGATGTCATATTTTTAGAAGTACTTAAAAGTTTATTTGCTGCAATTACCAAGTATGTCAATCATGTGTGCTCAAGGCACATCCAATTCCATAATATCCATACTTTGAAGACCACGTAAAACATTTCGATAAAGGTGGCTAGAATAATTAAGGAGATTACTGAGAATCAGATGCTGTGAGACAGAGTTGTTGGGAATTTTAGTGCATAAAGCACAATTGGAATATTATATAAAAATCAGAATCATGATGACAATTTTAGTACACACAAGTTAGCCCAAAACTAAAGTAATCAAATTGAATCTTGAGTCTTTTAGTCTAACAAGGCAAGTGAACAACATAGACGATAATGGAAACCACTATATTGATTTTTATTTCTGTTAATTACTATACAAACAAATTGCAAAACCTTGAAAACTCAAATAACACAAAATCAAACGAATCACACAAGGGTGTCAAAATTTTCAGTCAAATCATAAAATTGCAGAAGGGAAAAGACTGAAATCTATTAATATCACAGTTTAAATTATTATGCCCCTTAATTGAGCATATTTGAACAAGAAGGCAATTTCAAGGCGAATTTTATCCTTACAGAAGTGTAGCAACATAAAAATACAAGTTCATAAGTTCCTATTTCTTTTTCTTTTTTATGTACAAAGAAAGTGAGAGAGAGAGAGAGAATGTCAAAACCATTTTAGCAGGAACCAAACAGCTCACATAAGCCAAAAATAAGCAAGCAAACAATTAGTTCTCAGTAATCAATTCTCACTTTCATAAATCAAAACCCTAAATTATCAAACAAAAATGAAAGTTCCTTTTTAATATTGACCAATATGCTCAGTTTGTCACCAAAACCCCAACTGAAAAGATTGAAGAATTGTTCAAAATTAAACCACAAAACGCCCAATTATGACATAAAAACGGAAATTAACGAAATTCAGTAACCGTACTTCAATTCACCAGATACCGGAAACCACGACCGGCAAAACAGAGCATTCCGTCTCACTCCAAAGAACAGAGACGTATTCCATTTGCACCGGCTATTTCCATCGTCGGTCTCCGTCTCCTTTACCATCTGCAAACCCTCGGCAAGGGCTCTCCTCCGCAGCGTATCCTCCTCATCTCTCCGAAAAGCAAACCTCCGCTTCTTCGGCGTTGCGGTAACGGCCGAGGACGGCGAGGGCGGCGAAGACGTGCACACGCGGTGGCGAGGGAGGAGGCGAAGGAAGAGGATGAACCAGAGGAAAATTGATTGGATGAAGATTAAGGATCGACGGAGGGAATTGTAGGAGGGTACGGATCGACGGAGGTTCCTGAAGACCGGTATTATACGACCGCTCGCACCCGATGTTAGCTCCTCCATTTGCACCGGTTCCATGGCTCTCTCTGAACCCTGAGCCTGAGCAGAGACAGAGAGAGAGCGAGAGTATGTATGTATCTCTGGATATATAGGTGTATAGATATAGAGAGAGAAAGAATAGAGAGAAAGAGAGGAGAGAACGTTTACGCGTTCGATGGCGATATTTATAGCGAGGCATTCGAGGGGAGACAGAGCGAGAGAACGGACAAAGGGGGAGGTTGTGTAAAAGACGCGAAAAGGCAAAGGAAAATTGTGCCTGATGACGTGGCTCTCTCTTGTTAGAAGAAGTGATTGACTACGATGTATTTAACGGTATGAGAGATTGGGAGAAGTCCACGCTCTCCTACCTCCAAATTTTATAAGTTTTATAAATTTTTAGACTTATTTATACCAATTTTTTTTTTATAATGTTTTGAATCATATTCCAATTTTTTCGGTTCTAGTTATAATTTTTTTGGATCAAGTTATTATTTTTCGGGTAACTTGTGATCCTCACATTTTCAGGATCAATCACAAATTACTCTAAAAATTATAAATGATACTGAAAAATTATAACAAAAATCATAAAATTAATAATAGTGGTACGATATGAATTTTTTTTTCCAATGCTATTATCTTTTCAAGCAACTATGGGAATCGATATACACTACACGAATTTGGCACAATATCGGTCCAATAATGATATAATTTAGTAGCATGTATAATAAATTATAGATCAAAATGTGTATTTTTAGTTTCTATTTTTTTTTATCATAACGTTCGAATATAAAAAAGGACAGAACGCCACATTTTTAAAGTGGCAAAATAAACTTCCAAGAGAAAAAGGGGGTAAAGTGAAAATAGACAAACTTTATGGAAGAATTTGATTAACATGGTCATTGTGAACAAATCTTGATAATTCTTTATGGTCAATGAGAGATTTATTTTTTATGAATATCTTAGTCTTGACATAAATGATCTTTTTTTGATCGGACGGCAGAAGAGATTAATCGAGATACATGTATATTGACCCAGATACCTCTTATCATTAAACAAAAAAAAAAAAAAAAGTCACTGTGAACGATAATGCAATATATTAAAAAGTAAGAGGTCAATTCTGTATTTTTTTTACTTGAAGCACATGAGCTGCTTGTGATGGTATAAATGTGCACATAATGTAGTCTAGAGAGGATGCGGATGTGGTCAACTCCAAAAAACTTCCTAGTAAAATAGTTTTTTGATTATATTTTTCAAGTCCCTCAAATTTTGAAAACAATACTTTATACTCACATTATGATCATGATTCTATTTTACCTTTAATTTGATTTGGTTTCAAATTCTTGCACAAGTAGAAAGAATTTGAATTTATTTTGAATAGTGCAATGTAATCGAATCAATATTGTGTGTAAAATGAAATCAATGTACAGTTTTAGAGAAATATAGTCCACACTAAAATAGTACATTTAAGAGGATTCAAAATGGTAAACATGTATTGGATATTTGGAAAATTTTAGTTCATCTCTTGTCACATTTTTCAAAGGTACGATGAAATCTAGTTAAACTCAAGTGATTACGCAATAAAAGAAAAATAAAATTATTGGGTGTTCGGTAAATTGATCAAATGTTTTAATGTCAATTAATACGATGAAGTTTTATAGATTTAGTGCATCGTGTGGAATTAATTTTAATAGATTCAATGTCTTAAAATTTGACATCAACGACTGCTCATTAGTAGCTCCAATTAAAAAAAAATAAAATCAAAAGTTATGTAACTATTTGGCTCCCCTTATAATAAAAATCATGGCTCCCCTATGTGTGCGAGGTAGTGATTGAGTAACAAAAAAAAGTGGGAAAAATGGTTGCATGTTATTTTTCTTTTTTTTTTCTTTTGTGTATTTAGTCTTACGCCGATTATTCTTGAGAGCTTTGAGATTAACCACCGTGGCTCAAATAAAGATGACTAAGCCTTAAAAAAAGTGAGAAATAGCAAACATTGGACTGGGTTGCATGTTTCTTTCTTTCTTAAGTTTTGGAACTCAAATCTAAATACTAGCTCAATTCGTAATAAAGTAGATATAGGTATTGATGTTATTTGAAAAAAAGGTAAGTGTTATTGGAAAAGTTGTACACGGCTATGCTATTTCAAATTTTCAAGGTGATAGAAAGAGTTTAGTTCCGTCACACATCATAATGATAGTAGACTAGTATTGAGAAAAAAGATAATCTACTTTAGGAATATGACAATGAAATTATTTTATTTGTAAAATAAAAAACAAAAAAAAAATAGAGAAAATTACTTAATGAATATATGATTTCACTAATTTTTGTCAAGTTATTTTTAAAATTGATAAGGGCATATCTTGCTATAAAACAAAAATAATGAAATTTAACTATAGTTCCAAGTAAAGTTTAGTAATTGATCTAATAATTTCCATCCCTATAATTGAATCTTGAAATTATAAGTTCGAATCTCGTTATTCACGTCTTTGAACCAAAAAAAATACTTCCAAGTGGATAGAGACGAGCATTTATACAAAGTGATGCTTGGACGTAAACTTTGAATGGATTAAAAGTTAAAAAATATTATATAACTTAAATAAAATTTAAAAAATTAAAATTAAATGTATATCATTTAAAATGATTGAGCCCTACTAAAAAAATTGATAGAAATTACTTACTAAAAAAATAATATATATTTAAATTATAATTTTTTAAATTTTATTTAAATTTTATAGTATTACTCTTCAAAATTTGAGCTTTCATTTTGAGCCTCGCAAAACCAATTAAATATAGTTAACGAGATTCGTCCACGTGTCACTACTTTTATGATAACACCCATCTAATTCGTCAATCTAATCCATACGAATTTATCGATGGCCTTCAATTTTGACTTTATTATTGTAACGTCCCTTTGTGACCCCACCGACCAAGGGCCCACCACCTTGACATCAACGCCACGACTATTTCGTAGAGGAAACTTTCACGATTGGGTCCGTCAGAGTAACTTCAATTACACTATCTAAAATAATTAATTAAAATATATTTAAATATTATATTATTTATTTTAATTAATTATTTTTTAAAATTCACTTCAATTACGTTATCTATTTTATTTAACCACTTCAACTAATTTTAATTAATTTTCAGTAGTAAAATTCAAAAAATAACAATTCAACTATATATTATATATTATATGAATTTAATTAATTATGGGCTACAAGAATAAATATTGTGCGTGCAAGATTCTGCACAATATAAAAAACGAGAACAGATCTCTCCCTTGGTGAACTCGAGTGAACCGGTTGAGTGACCAGACACACTGCTTGGAACAGTCTGCGAGGTCCGGTGGTAACCTGGAACGGCAATGGGAGACCCTGGGGGGAACGGAAGAACGATCCAGTAAGGCTAAAAGAGGTTCCTGGAACAAAGAAGAACAAGTTAGAAGGGCGCCGGAGTGTTTTTCGGCGTATCCTCTCCGACGATCTAGTCAGTCTTTTAGAAAGAGAGAGGAAGGAGAAAACATTGAGTGAGTATTGTAGTGAATAGTTTTTTGTTGCATACCCCTCTTGCCTTTTGCAAGGAGTATTTATACCTCAAAAGCTCATGATTGCTGTCAGTGTAGTCAGTAGATGCTCATTAGGTACAGGCAGTGTGCACACTGATTCTGATGAGGAATGTCTTCTCTTCTTAACTGCTCGGGGTCCCGAGCAATCAATGCTGGGTCATCGGGATGCCGACGGTACAATGTACTCCTCTCGGGGAGGATGCAATAAATGCTCTGTATTAGGAGCATTTATTGTCTTTCATTTCCGAGCCTTACCGCATTGAATGCGGTCTCATCAAGGGAATGGTGTAATTAATAGTTTGCTTTCCCAAGTCGCGTGTCAGCAACGACATGTGGTTTCTCTGTCTTCGATGTGATATCATATGCCACGCGTCCACCCTTTATTGGCTGTGACCCCTGCATTCCAGTATGTTCTGACACTAATTGTGTAAGACGAGGTCATGATGAATAGTCTAGACTAGTCTAGGCTAATGACCTGTACGTCAATAGCTTATCCTGGAGTAGAGGAAGCGTCCAGGACGGGATACCTCTCGGCACCGAGGAAAGACTCATCTCGGAACCGAGGGAGGTATGCCGATCGAGGTACCATATCAGACCGAGGCCACGTGTCGGTTGTAAAACATACTGAATGCATGATCCTACATGACGAGTATCTCGGGGGCGAGGACCTTGTGCGCCGATGGTGCTTGATCTTAGCAACACTGTTTTGGTAATACCGATGACACGTGTCTTCATCATTGAGCATTTCAGAAAAGTCCCATCAAATATCATAAAAGATAGGCTACAAGAGTAAATATCATAAAATACTTGTGGGGTTTTGTTAGATTTTTAGGGGATTTTGTTGAATTTTTTTGAAGATTTTGCTAGATATTTGAAGATGTTTTATTGAATTTTTAGAGGGTTTTACTGATTTTTTTTTGAGATTTTATTGAATTTGTGAGGGAATTTTGTTGAATTTTTTTACTAGCTCAGTTCTTGATCTTCTCAAGTTTTTATCAAGAATTTGAGCAAAAAGTTAGAAAAACCCATTTCAATAATCACAAGGTAGTTCCGGTTAGAAAAATTCATTTTCCAAAATCAAAAACCCATTTCCAAAATCATAAACCCACATTGAAAAATCTCATAGAATTGATGGATGATGGTGAAAATTACCTTAATTGAACGCACTTTCAGATGGTGAGATCGAGAGAAATAGAGATAACGAATACACCACAAAACCCACCTCTTGAAAACCCCAAATCTCATTTTTTTGATCATTTTGATCGATTTGTTGTGATCAAAATTGTTGGCATGTATGTGAGTGAGAGAGAGAAAGAGAGAGCATACCAGACCTCTGATCCAAGTTGTGACGAAAATGATTTGTGATGAATACCCAAATTTGTGATGAAGACGAACCACGCTCTATGTGATGAAGGTGATGTTGCTGAATACCTAAATAACTAGCTTTCCTTTCTCGTCAGATCCAGCGAGCCAAAAGTCGAAAATATGTAATATCGAGTGTTATAGCTAGCCGGTTGGAGTAAAAATTTATGAAATGACTATCTAAAATAGCTAACAAGTCACGTTGAGCAATCCCCTTTGGAGTAGCTCTTAATAGAGTAGGTTTGGATAAGACTATTTTCACTCGCCTTAAATCTCT